GGCCTGCAAGTACCTTCTCAAGTCAATAACCAGTCGCTTTTATACTGTTATATTTTGAAAGTTTCAATGTATAGACTATGTTGCTTACTGCACAACACAGATTTTAATCTCAAATCTTGGGATGTCATTTTGCTGATATGTAGTGCACGTCAAGGCACAAATTGAAACGTGGTCAAGTGAAGTGGTTAAGTCAGTCAATGTAGGTTTTCACACACAGGTGCATCAGTTTAAGTTGCCAAACAAACATCAGATGGATAGAAAAGGAGACGAAGTTGTGTGAGTTAACATGCAGTTTGAAGGTAATGGTCAGTGCAAATATTCATGCTTCAGATGTTAAAAAGTGAATACATTTGCACTGTTATCACCAACCGATTCTCAGCTATGTCACCAAGAGTCTCCAACCACTGATTTTTACTTCCCGAGGACTCCAGTCAGATAATCTACATCTTCCAGAACAGCTCAAACCAACGTTCAGGATCTTCATCGACTGGTGCTATATCTTGGTCAGGCCACTTTGAACTGTCTTCCAACCTAATCCAGCTTCCCCCTAGCATGGCACGTCCAGATAGGTGGTGACTCGACATGCACAACATATGCCCAAGACACCTCAGCCAACGAAGTTCCACACCCTTGCCAATCTTGCCTAGTCCTTCACGCCTGACCTCAACATTACTCACACCGTGATTCCACCAAACATGGGCAATGATGGGAAGATACCCAAGCTCGTAACCCTGTAGACGTTTTGTGTCTTCTACTTTTAACGGCCATGTCTCACAGCTGTATAACAGAACAGAATCGAATGCAGCGCTGTATACTCGGACTTTGGTAGATGATTAGTTATCTCTCCGGTCAGCACCACATATAACGCAGCGCCCAGCAGACCTTTTGTGTCCAAGCTAAGATTTCGTCAGCAACTACCCCGTTCGGGCTGATGCAGCCCTCTAGTAGGTGAAGTGGTCGACGTATCCTAACACTTAACTTCATACCACTAGGCTGACTGGGTGTAGTATCAGACTAGTCAGTCGTGGAGTACCATCTTACATTTGACAGTTGCGAAAAGTATGCCAAACATGCTCAGATTTATGCTCAACACGTTCACAGGACCCTGCATTTTGTCAGCGTCTTCACCTAGAGGGATAATATCATCTGCATACTCCAAGTCAGCTAGATAACCAGCTAGATAACCTCAATCCCAGTGAAGTAGGTACATCTACAACGAAGTTTGACAGGAATGGTGACATTGGGCATTCCTGGCAGACACAATTAGTTATCATTAATTCACATGATAACTCTCCATAAGCCCTTATACGCCTGCGTGAGTCCCAGTAGAGAGGTTCTACTGGCATTACACACTTGCTCGATACACTCTTCACAGTCAGACACTGCCATAACACTTCGCGGTCGACAAAGTCATATGCCGCCTTCAGTTAGAGAATTATGGCAACTGTTGGTCACTGATGGTAAAGTATTCTTGTGTTCTAGAAGCTATCGGAGCGTGAAAATAAATCGATGCACACTTGTGTATGCCTGAAGCCTGTCTCATTTCCTCGAGCTGCAGTTAGACAAGGATAACTATGGAGTCTAGGATATTGGACACAAAGTTAGTCAAACTGATTCCCTCATGGTTGTCACAAGAAGATTTCGTTCCCTTGCTACAGACTGAGATGATCAGTAAAATAAAACACTCTGACAGCACTACCTTCGATTATCATGCACCCCTGATACCCCCATCACCTTAATAATTAGCAGTATCTTACCTCTATTCTTGAAAATTCCGGACGACAAACAGTCGCTTCCTGTTGCCTTGCCTTCTGCGAGAGCAGAAGGAATGAAAGCGGAATCTCCAAACTCAACTGCAGAGTCAATAATCTACTCCGACATTGTCACTCAGATGACAACCACAAGCACACTCAATTTTCCAGTGGCTATCATGATGACACCTTCAAAAGCATCGAAGGCTCTCATACAGTGGGAACCAACCTCCTCATGCTGGATCATGACAGCAAGGTTCAACTCAAAACGAAGGAAGGAAGCAAGGTCACAATCATACAATGCTACACTACCCTACGCATCTACAAATAATGCAGAGCAAGAGAAGAAGGAGGAATTCTACAGACAACTACAATCAACACTGCATAAGACCTCACTCCAGTTGGCGACATCAAAATTCTAATGGGTGGGTTGACATGAATGCCAAACTGGGAGTGGACAACACACGAAGACAACTAACCATGGGTCGAGAAGCACTCAGTGAGATGATGAGTGAGAATGGAGAATTGTTTGCAGATTTGTGAGCATTCAACGATTTGATGATTGGAGTGAGGCAGTGTGTTCAAGTGTGCACAAGGATATCCACAAAGCGGGTGACATGGATTTCACCAGACAACTGGACACACTGCACTGAAAATCAGATCGACTTCACCTCAATGTGAAGAGAGTGGAGACGCAGTCAGCATACTGGACACAAGATTGAGAAGAGGGGAAGATGTAGGTTCACAACACTCACTATCTTGTGCAAGCAACTCACCTTCAATATCAAGTTGAAAGCCTTCAAGGTGGTTGATGATAGACCACAGTTCAAGTTCAAGTTGAACAGGGAGAACAGAAAGTGGAGTACGAAACTACAAAGGACATTTTCACATCAGCCGTCAAGACGAGATGGGAGATATCGAGTGACATCCCTGAAGGAAGTTGCATGGAGGAACACTGGAACTGTTTGAGAGCTATGTGGAAGAAAACCTGCACAACCGTACTAGGAAGGAAGAAGAGGCAAGAAGAGGAATGGATCTCGATGGACACATGTAAGCTGACAGAGAGAGGAGGGAGAGAGGAGAGGAAGATGGTGGAGCAGAATATGAACCAGTGAAGTGCAAGGATGCACAACGAAAAGACAAACTGATTACAACGTATAAAACACTACACTGGACAAAGAGGTGAGTGAGAGTGTGCGCGTGAAGATAAAAGATACTTGTACGACACATTGGTAAGTGAAGGAGAACAGAGTGCAGGTAGGCGAGATAGAGACGTGACAACATTATATTGAATAACCAGGTTACTATCTGCAAGGAAAGAGATCAACAGAGATGAAACTAATGAAAGATAGTGAAGGGAAGCTAGTTATGAAAGAGGGGAAACAAAAGAAACGATGTACTGATTTCTTCATAAAATTCTTGAGTGCCATGAAGCTACTGAAATGCAGGAAGGCAGCAGGACCAGGTGGAATCCCGCCAGAAGCACTGGCAGCAGATGCAGAGATAACAGCAGACATGCTCACATCACACCACTATTGCAGAAGGTTTGGAAGGAAGGAAGGAAAGGTACCTGCCAGTTGATTGGAAGGAGGGCTACCTTGTCAAACTCCTGAAGAAGAGTGATCTAAGCATTTGCCAGTCCTGTCCACCTCAAACAAAATATATTAGGCCGCATCATCCTGAAGAGACTTAAGGATGCGTTGGATTCAAAACTAATACCCGAACTGGCTGGCTGGCTGGCTGGCTGGATTCAGGAAGTACAAATCATGTTCGGATCACATTGCAACGCTTCATATCATCATAGAACAGAGTATAGAATGGCAGCCAATACTCTACCTCAACTTCATCGACTTTGAGAAGGCCTTTGACAGACTCGACTGACAAGTAATTTGTCAGTTGCTTCAACACTACGGTTTTAGTACCACAAACCTTCATCAACCTCATTCAACAACTATATGAAGATACCACATGACCAGTAATTCACAATGGAAAGCTCAGTGATACCTTAGAATTGATGTGAAGACAGGAGTGAACAAGGCTGTCTAATATCACCCATGATATTCCTGATTGTGGTCGACTGGATCATGCAACAAACAGTGAGGAGGGAGAAGAGGGGTATACGCTGCTTGACCACGGAGAAGAACCTAGAAGATTTGGATTTCTCCGATCACTTGTGCCTGATGTCTTGTCACACAAACTGGAAGATGTACAGGCGAAAACTAACAAGTTGACAGAAGAGACAGGGAGGGTAGGGCAGGGCAGGGCGGGGCAGTGAAGACGGGACTTCAAGTGAATATAGAGAAGAGGGAGGTGATGAAAGGTATCCAACCAACACCGCCACCATCACCAGCAACATGCTAAAATCACCACGAATGGAAGAAACGTAGAGGAGGTAACCTCTGTCACCTATCTAGGCAGCACTGTTTCAACCTACAGACGGTGGTGGCAGTGATGAGACGAGGATGTCAAAGCCAGCCAGTATCGTAAAAGACAGCAAGACAGGCCTCCCTTCATTAAGCTGAAACCAGTATGGAGATCTTCTGCACTCAGTATAAAGCGTGAACAAGATGCAGATTTTCGACGCCGACGTCAGTCAAGTCAGTGTTTCTATATGG